GAGAGGACAGCTATGATGACAGGCACAGGAATCAATGACCATCATGGGGTGTCGAACCAGCCTCCCCTGTGGACAGCGGAAATCCACGTTCACAGTGCGGGTCTGGTAGGGGGTGCAGCACCTGGAGTCAGAGCAGAGGCCACAGAATCTTGGGAGAAAGGCCTGTGTGCTATAGCAGCCCTGGTATTCAAATAGCAGAGGCAGCAGAACCTTCTGACTTGGCTCACATCGCCTGGCTCCCTGCAACACATAAAAATCGGTTTCAGCTTGTTAGAAAGTGGAAACTACTAATACAGTAGAAACATGCAGATAAAAAAAAACATGTGTTCTGCTTTCTGTATGTATATTTAAAGTGTACCACATTCAGCCCTAGAAACCCCAAAGGATTAAAAAAGCAAAACAAACTACGCATTTTACTAATGATAGAAATGTTTTCAAAAGAGATTAATACATAATACATATTTCAATCAATTAAAGAGACTTATAAATACGAATTTCCTTGTTAATTCCTAATTCCTTGAGGATGCACACCACTAATCTATCTGCTTGCGTATATCTTGCACAGATTCATTCTATATTAACTATCAGTTCCAAGTGATGTGTAACAAAGGGCTTTTATGGAGCAATACACCAGGCACAAAAAAGAGTAGACACAAACACCAGTTTGCAGTTGTTTGGCTGAATCAAAAGAGTTCTACTGTAGATATGGAGGTATTGCACTAATTTTGGGAGTGGTGAATTTAATACCTTCTAATGAGTTAAGGCTCACTACAGACAGAGCAGTTATCAAATTACAAGTCTCTGCACAGAGCATGTTCTCCTACTTTTCTATGAGCCTATGAACCTTGAGTTTATAGTGGTACAAAAGCATCACAAACAAAAATATACAAAGGGCTTTTAGTACCTCCTGACACAACCCCATCTTCTCTTCCCTCTGCACCGCCCCCTCAAACACTTCCAATGAGAGACAGTTACCCCCTTTGTGTGAGTTTAGCTTGCTCCTGTAGCCAAAAATGTATTTTTCCAAACAATTGTCAATAAACAGGATCACTGGCTGACCCCAATATAAACTCTCCTCCCTGAGCTCTCAAATGAGCTGCCAAATGATGTCCTTGTGCACTTTTTGACGTTCGTAAACACACTGATCTGCACCAGGGCGTAACCTGACGGAAAACAAACCCCTTCACTAGCACATCAGCGGCCTCTAGTGATCACAACCCAGTCATTAAGAATATGTGCTCTGGAACAAATACTGAGAAGAGGTGGACATCTGGTTTACACGTTTCATTACATTTTATTGACGTTCCGATCTTGGACTCCAACAGCATGCTCTGATCTAGATGAATCGAGTTTTTACTTTCCAGTTGTGATGCCATGGTTTTTGGCTTGCTGCTGAATTTCCCTAAAAAGTCCCCTAGGGTGACACTATCAACTACCCACCCTGCATTTAGAGGTTTTGTTTCTTTAGCCTCTGTATTTATGACAATTCTCTGAGGTCATGAATCACTCATGTTGCTCTTCTATGACCTTCTTAAAACTATAATTTATGTTTTGTCACTTCTAGGGTGACAAAACATGCAAATATTGAATGGTGTAAAGACTGAGCATAACTTTCCTTGAGGGAAATTTCACATTTTTCCAATAAAGACAATATTTGCTGGCTTTATTGCCTCTGTTCATTGTCTTTACAAAGGCACAGAAGCCCAGATGCTATTTGTACATAGCGTCTTGAAGCTAAACATCATCATAATTATGTTTTGCATTAATACAGTGCTTCGCATCACCCATGTCATCTGGATGTTCCCTCCTCCTGTGTGGATTTGCAATGAGTTTGTTTGCCAAGTCCCAGCCCAATCCATGATTAATCTCCGAGACGAACTCTATTGAGATACAGTAGACGTGGATATCTTACAAGCAACATTGTGAAGATTTTTGTGTGGCTTAAAATCACTATGAATTGTGGAAATTAAAGTCAATTGGTCCTTGCAGTTTGTAGAGATCTCTTGTGTACTAGTGACTTCATAACACAACTAACTCATGGCATCGGAGCCGTCTTTGGATGGTTCTGAACCCCCTGACCACTGTAAAACTACAAAAGCGCATTAAAATTTATTCTGATGACAGACGTCTGACCTAAGAATTCAATTTCATTAGAGTCTTTGACAGCTTTCATTTGCAAACCATTTAAAATACTCTTTACCATATTTTAACAAAGATGGTAGAATTTTGCCTATCAGATGGTTGTCAAGCAGGCAGGCCCATTGCTTTGCAAGGTATTTTAAATGTGTTTATCTAGTTCTGGGATTTGAATAAACTGTAGTCATTTGTTTACTTCAGGGGATAGCTGCTTGTTTTGGCAGAGGACAGTAGCAGCTTTCTCCAGCCCAGTATGTTACAAAAACAATATTAACACTGCAAGTCAGTGACTGCATTAAGACACCCTGTCGTAGTCTCATTCACTTACTTAAAGAAAAGAACTGTGGTGAACTGTTCACTGATTTGTCCAATTTCATAAGGCATAGTATTTAAAGGTCTTAGAAATACCTACAGTACATACTTTATTCCAAAAATGAAAAAAAAAGTATTGTGCACCTTTGAACCAGCACGCGGTTTAGACAACACATTTGTGTTCCCGCGAATTGACTACTGTAATGCTCTACTTGCTAGGGTATCTAAATCTACTTTGAACAAACTACAGTATGTCCAAAACCCAGCAGCCAGAATCCCGACCAGGTCTAGTGCAAATGATCACATTACTCCTATCCTGGAGTCCTTGCACTTGCTTCCGGTCAAATTTCATGTAGACTTTAAAATCCTAAAATGCTCACATATAAGACTGGGCATGGCTTGGTACCTCAGTACCTGAGTACCTGACTATGTTTCAGAACTGTTTTGATTTGCACTTTCACCAGTCGGTCGGCTTCCTGGCTACGAACCCCGCTTTCGGATCATGACCCTGAACTGTGTTTTGTCTATTGCCCGCTGCCTGCTCGGCTGATGTTTTCACCCAGAAAATGAGTTCTTCACTCGAGCCGTTTATTTCCACTGGCATCTGTAACTACATACCTGTTTCACCACTGTAACTTCCAACATCCCCTGAAATCTCTGTTTTGGATTCTGCTGCTCCAGAGGCCATCTCTTCAGCCCCAGATCTGTCCTGGGCTCTACCTCTGGCGCAGTCAGCAGGTGTCCTACAAGCACCTCTTTTTTCTCTTTTTCCGGTGCTTGCAAGCCTTCTATTTCAGACAGGGACCTCAGTACCTGTCTGAACTATTATCGCCCTACTCCCCACCTCGCAACCTTCGCTCTTCTAACTCTGCTCTCCTTACTGTCCCCCAAGCCCATCTACATTGTATGGGTGACAGGGCCTTCTCCTGTTATGCCCCCAAGCTCTGGAATTCTCTCCCCAAGGATATCAGAGAGTCACCTTCTGTAAACTCCTTCAAATCCAGACTCAGAACCCTCTTCTTCAGAAAAGCCTTTATTTAATTGGTTCCTTTCTTCAACCCCTCTGCTTTTCTTAGTACCATCATCTACGGTCTCCTCTATATATTGTAATTGTGTTCTATCTTGTGTATTCTTTTTATTTATTGTTGTTGTCATCCTGTAAAGCACTTTGAGAAGCCACCTTTAAAGGCGCTATATAAAATAGTTTATTATTATAATTTAGAGAGGTCAAGAATGAGAGTTCTGGAGACTGGCCAGGACACTGTAGTAAATCCCCACCTGACTGCCACCATCTCCAGACACTGTCCTGGATCAGTCAGTTCTCTGTGACACAGCGTTTTCCTTCACCCACCTGGGTGGTGAGTGGCAGCCATTCTGCACCCACCTTGCCTAAGCCAAGAGTTTACATTTACTCATGTTCATATGAACAGTGCCATGAGATCTCCTTAATAGCACCTTGATTTGCTGCTTCAAGGCCTGGATTTTTAGCCCTCGGGATCAAATTCTTGGTCAAAATGTATACTGGTATTGATCAAATACACTAACAGGAATCAATACTAACACCCTTCACTTCAAACAGGCATTCACTGATTTAATCCTCATCCGCTTCTTCTTATAAGGCAATCTGATACTTAACAGTGTAATGGAAACTTCCATTTGACTCCTGTATGGAGTCTTCTGAAAACTGACGCCAGTACGCAGCCATAGTGCACCAGAACGCTCACCACACATAAGTGGGGAGGAGAACACAGTAATTAAGCCAGTTAATAGATAGGAGGCCATGATTGGTAAAGGCCAGGGGGAAATGCCAGGACACTGGAGTAACAACCCTACTCTTTTTGAGAAACGCCCTGAGATATTTAATGACCATGGACAGTCAGGAGCTCGGTCTTATGTCTGACATGAAGGACAGTGCTTTGTTTGCAGTATAGAGCCCCCGCATTAAGACTCACACAGACCACAGAATGATGGAACTGGCCAGACTCACACCTCCTGAGCTGCAGCTGCTGGCTATATACTAATGTCTCAATTTTAAAAAGGGAGACACCAGAATTTGAAGTGGGATTGTGTAACAAACTGAAGTGGAGAAAACCTGAAATGGAGCTTTAGGAGCCTTATCTGTTTCAAAGAAAAACACATGTACTAAGTTCTCCAGGAAAAATAAAATATTTACAGCCCCAGCACATGCCATGCCTGAACACCAGATGGCGCCATTGTTTACTAAAAAGTACTTCTTCAATGTTATAGGCTGCTCTACTACTGTTACCTATTTTACTCAAAAGGCATTCTAATTTGAAGTCGGCAATAGATCTGGCCTCCTTTACTCTTTCAAATTCTGTAAGGGAACATCCTTACGTTAACTCATCACGTGCACGATGAATTATGACACTGCGGCAGAGCAGAAGCTTGACAGACGTTCACACCTGCCTCACTCACCGTGGGGGCCAATCGGGACAGGCTCTGGCAGGGCCGCACCATGCAGAGCCGCGTCTGCGTCTCCAGGCGGCAGGCGCGGTTCTTGTTGGTGACGCGGGTGGAGGTTCCCATGCCGCAGGTCTGTGAACAGGCGCTCCACTCGGTGCTCTGCTCGATGCAGTTAGAGCCGGAGTTCGGGGTCTGGCTGTGAGGGTCCAGCCGGTTGGACACCTCGGGTCTGTGAGCTGAAATTTCAGTTTTTAAAGTGTCAGAGACCAACGTAACCAATCTCCGCCTTCTCAAACTCTGGGACGGCGCTGAAAGTGTTGGCCCTGAAATCACATCTCTGAAATAAAGTAGTTCAGGTGGGTAGCTGCGTCAGCATGCGTAGGCTGCAAAGGAACAAATAAATAATAAGCCTCCACTGTCTCGTTGCGTTTTCTTTCTTCTCTTTTCAGCATGGAATAAACCTATTTGAATGAATCTCTTTTTCTTAAAAAAAAGTAAAATATTAAAAACGTACAAATGTATTTGCATAACTGGCGTTAACACTTTCTCTGATGAAAACTTCATACCCCAACACTTTAAATGCAAATGTTCATTTGCATAACCTTAACTGTTCAAAGGGATTTTAAAAAACTTGACAGTTGTAGTGATGATTCCTCATACTGTACAGGTATGCGCATACTGATACAGTAAATACAGTCTATCAGGGTGGTAGACGGACAGCAATAGCAGCAGACGTGCCACTAGAGGCCGCCAAAAGAGCTAGTGTCTGCTTTCACATGCGAGGTTCCTTTAGTGGGATCAACCCATCCATCCATCCATTTTCCAGCTACTTTTTTCAGTTCAGAATTGTGGGGGAACTAGACCTATCCCAGCAAACAACAGGCACACACTATTCTATTGCCGGGCACACTCTCACAACAGGGCAAAGTTTCCTAGAAGCCAATTAAACTTTATGCCAGCAGCTATATCACCCTGCAACTCGCAAATGGCAACCCACTGAAGCTCAGCAGGTGTGATCCTGGTCAGTACCTGGACGTGAGACCTCCTGGGAAAGCTAAGGTTGCTACTGGAAGAAGCATTAGAGGGGTCAGTAGCGGGCGCTCACCCTGCAGTTTGCATGGGTCCTAATGCCCCAGTATAGTGAGGGAGATACTACACTGTAAAAAGGCGCAGTCCTTCAGATAAGATAAGTCCTGACTCTGTGGTCATTAAAAAACCCAGGACGTTTCTCAAAAAGAGTAGGGGTGTTACCCTGGTGTCCTGACCTAATTTTTCTCTGACCTTTATCATTCATGATCTCCTAATAATCCCCATCTATGAATTGGCTTCATCACTCTGTTCTCCTCCTCAGTGAGAGCTGGTGTGTGGTGAGCGTTCTGGCGCAGTATGGCTGCCGTCACATCATCACCAGGTGGATGCTGCACATTGGTGGTGGTGGAGGGGAGTCCCCATTACCTGTAAAGAACTTTGAGTGGAGTTCCAGAACAGCACTATATACAGTAAGTGTAAGCTATTATTATTACTGCTACCCAGAATCCAGAAGAAAGGATTGAATAGATTTCCATAAGAAAGATCAGTTTGTCGTTTGTTGCTAATTGATGAAAGACTCCAGTCTTCATTGATTTAAAGGATTCCTTGAAAAAGACAATGCAATGGCTTCAACAACATGACTGGGGAGCTTGTTCCAGATGTGCGCAAAAAGGTGAATCTTATTCTTGGGTTTTAATGCACTACCATATAGTTTCCACTTGTGTCCTCCTTGGTCACATCTTACAGACTACACAGTAGTTACCTACAGTATAGTAGGCTTTTTGGCCCAGGAGTCAATGAAAGGTGCTTGTTATCCCTTGAATTTAAGATTAGCACTATTACTTACTCACTGCGAGATACCCTAATCCAGCCAGACAAGTTGACGAGACATAATTTCATGAAATACATCCTCCAGCCCCCGTTTCTCAAACTCAACAAAAGCCCCAACAATGGTGGCACAGTTTCTTAATACGCGTGATAAGAAAATCCATTCCCTCCACAATAGTTTCTTAACAATATACATGTTCATATCATTTCCCACTACAGACTGAGCAGTTGTTCAGACAGGATTCGTAATAAGGAAGAACGCCCAAGAGATTTTCCCGCTGTACTGTACATCCCGAACTGAAAAATGAGGTACACCAAATTCCAAGCACAACTCAGCACATGGTTTGTGGGGGTGGGGGAGGGTGGAAACATTAGCCACTTGCTATTCATAGGAAAACCCCACCTTTCCTCCAAATTCCAACAATAATACCATTTCATGGGAAAAGGGAATGGAAAGCACCACACAGACAGTATGGGTTTTGAAAAGGTAAGCAAAAAATCTAATATTGTTCTGCCAGAGATTATGTACACAAGATCTGCAGACCTAATAGGTAAATTATGATCGAAATTGTTGGCAAACAGCTCATCAAAATGGAGTGGATGGCTTGTCAAAAAGTAGGCATCATTCATTTTTGCAATTCCACTTCATCTGCTGAAACACAGATTCAAAAGATTCAAAAACAAACAGGTGCCAAAGCAACATATGATTCTGCAAAGTTCTTGAGGCACTTGAATACATGCCGCTAAACATCTTCTGCGTCTCTATCACTCCCCAACACAATAGGATCACAAAATACCTCCAAGACAGATTTTCAGCAACACGTCTCTTTATGTGGCTCTCAGATTCAAGTCAACAGCCACACTGTTCCATGATTTGTAATCAGATAACTTGTATCCAATTTATATTCTGTATTAGAACCAAATAATTAAAATAAACCATTGCAGAGGGCTTTGAACTGATAGGCGTCTCACTGGATAACTACAGAAATGGCTACCTCAGATTGTTAATAATGTACAATAATCTAAATATCTCCTTTCCAGAGCAGCATTGCATATCCAATACAGTATAACACGTCTCGAGCTCCACTGCAGCAAAAGAACATTTCGCACAAGCTGTTCTTCTCCTGTTGACACAAGCTGACTTTGTGGCATTTGTTGAAATCCTAGATTTTTTCCAGACTGTTTCATTGTTTTGTTAACCTCCTATTGGAGTTATTTATATTTAACAGATTGTGTTGTTTTATGAAATCACCGAGCCCTACCAACCTGGTCTTTTCCGTGAATCGTGGAAGGAAAAACACGTTTCTATTCCTGTCCTGTCTGTCTGGGTTTTATTTTGCTACAGTATGGCAAAAGAATCCCCCATTGGAAGTAAAAGAATATGATAACTGAAGGGTCAGCAGCCTAACCACAAAGTAGACATTGTAGGATTTTGAGTGGAACAAAAATGAAAGCGAGACAGGTGGTGTCAACGTGACTTGACAATTTGCCTCAAAACATTTGTGCCAGGCTTGGGCTTGCAGACTCAACGTCAGTCATGTAATAACAAGCTAGAGCTTCACAACCACCGATAAGGATCTCCATACTCTCAGTCAGCAGAGTCAGCTTAGTTCGAGAAGAGTGAAAATGTAACTAAACTACCTGGTTCACAGAGAAACAAAGGCCTCAGACGTCTGACGCTACAAGTTCAGTGTTTTTCCAGAAAAGCTCAAACACATTCAAACATTCAATATTTTCTTCTTGTTGAGTGTTCTAGAAGGTAGTGTTCCCCCCCCCCAGTGCAAGATGAAATAATTAAACCACCATTTTAGAGCAGAAGAGTGGATTTGTTTCGGTACAAGTGTCCAGGAGTTGTCTACTTACCTTTTAAGAGCACAGTGTGTGAATGGACCCCAGTGTCAAATTGTCCCATCTCCACAACTCAGTCACACCACCAACAAGGAGGGGGCAAACGCACCCTTAAAAAGCCCTGGTTGACATCACTGTAGTGTTCTTATCTTGCACCCCAATGATCACACTTGGAAGTCAAAATGTATCCTGAAACAATGGTGTGTAACTCATGAGTAACTTATGAATGTGATCCTCAAGGTCTAATAAAGGCAAGGATGAAGTGGGAGAGGAATGAAAACAAGAGACAGTTCTACAGAGACACATGGGTGTCTGGGGCATTTTGCTTGGCCAGTGATGGAGCTGACCTCAGGGGCCTCTTCAAGAGGCCGATTCATTGACCCTCCAGTCAAGGTGATGTGGGTCACATGGCCCCCCATCAGGCCATCGCAGCCCTTACCTGCCAAGGCGTCTTGAAGAACACTGTTGGCCGTATTCTCACACACCCAGTCCTTGCAGCACTTGCCCTGGAGTTGCAGCTGCTGGGGGTTGGGGCAATCCGGGCTGGGCAGCCTCACGTCCTCGCTGCAGAGAGGCACGCAGGTGACCCCCCCACCCGCACAGCGGCACTGCATGGCGCAGGAGGGCTGGAACACCTGGCCCTCCTTGTAGGTCACCCCGTCCAGCTCACAGCCCAGCTCCTCCTCACCTGTGGAGGCACACAGCAGCGTGAGGGCAGCCTCCGATTCGGCATCCACATCGCAAGGATGCAAGCCTCCATCCCTCACTAAACAAGCATAATTCATTCCTCTGCAACTACTCGTAAGGTGAGACCTCCCATGACATCCCATTTTATCATCTTCATCTGGTTCCAGAACTCAAATATGTTCCCTCAAACACCCAAAATGTTTTAACAAAACATGGGTTAGTGCTTAAGTATGAAAACAATAACATTCCTGGTGAATTATTCAAATAACATGCTTCAAGTCATTAGCCAATACATGGTGTAGACAAAAACTAACAGTCCTGCTCATTTATGGTGCAGTATAGCACCATTACAGTCATTAGCAAATGCGGAAACATTAGCTACTATCAGCATGGAATAAACCTTTACCTGTTCCTTTGCAGCCTATGCATGCTTACGCAGCTCCCTACTCAATCTTCATAAAGAAAGATCCCCTACATGGTAAAGACTTCAAATCAACATCTACTGTACATCCTTTGGCCAATGCTTAAGCCACTGTCCTGTTTTCATAAGGTATGCTTACATGTGGTTTTCTGTAATACTGTTTGTGCTTGTGGAAATGATAACATTAAGATCACTTTATTGGCCATATACAATTTCTTGTATTAGGAATTCATCTTTTCGCATACCCCAGCTTGCTCTGCATGAGACACACAGACAGGGAGAGAAGCTTGGGGTCAGACCACAGGGTCAGCCATTTATATGGTGCCCCTGGAGCTGTTGGGGTTAAGGGCCTTGCTCAGGAGCCCAACGGAGTAGAATTCCTCTGCCGGCCACGGGATCCGAACCAGTAACCTTCCAGTCCCGGGCGCAAATCCTTAACCGCAGAGCCACTGTTTTATCTGCTGCATGCAACCCCAGGAGACGGCGCTCAGTGTGTGTCGGCGGCTCGTCTGAAGGCATACTCACTGACACACACTCCAGGACCCCCCGGGTAGCTGGCGCTGAAGTCACACTGGAGCCCGCGCGCGCGGTCACAGCTGAATCTCTCATTGCAGGTCTCGCCCTCCTGCCTGGCACACACCTGGCAGCACTGGCACCCATCCAGGACTACAGAAACACCCGCGGGGCATCGGGGAGCTCTTCTGGGGCAGTAGCACGGCCTGCCACAGAGCTGGCAGCAGACCTGCCAAAAACAGAACCACGATTGCTTTTACACTTCGAGATTTTATTATTGTATTCCACAGAAGGCAGAAGCAGATTTTTTTTTTTTTTATCGTCCTCTCTTTTAACTCAGCATGCTACTAACACAAAGTAAATATTGGCTATTTGAAATAGCTTGTGCCATCTTTATTGGCAGCTGTACAGTATGTGTTTGAGAGCACTTTCAAAACTTTCAGATTAACACCTCACTTATTATTAAGAAGTCAACAAGCATCGCAGCCAGTATTTAGCAGGAATTATGTAACAGTTTCTTTAATTTATGTTTCTTTGAGATGTACTCCATTTAGAAAGAAAACTAGTGGCTCTACTGAGAGCTGGCCAATATTACTAATATTAGTTGTCTGCTTATAAGTGCTTTATTCCTGAATCTGTGGTGTAGCAGCTTTTGAGGCAAGCGTTTGGCAATTAACACATTTTTTCATTCATTTCCGTGCAGTCAGCACACGTTTGTTCAGGTTCTGTTTGGGATTTTCAGCCTGTTGTGAAAAAAACAAGTTGGTGACGTTAATTGAATTTGCAAGAAAGTGATCAACAATTAAGCTCTGTGCATATGCATCACTGCACACAAACTGCAATTATATAAAACATCAGCAATAACTTATATTTTCCCAGACCTTCACTGTCTTTAGAACTTTTTTCTTCTGCACAGACTAAAGATGTCCTGAATTTCTTGGCTGTCATAACTAACGTGTGAGTGCAGGGGCACGTCTGAAGTCTGACCTTCCTCACTCGGCCCGATAAGTTAAAAATAAACAGAGCTGCACCTCAGGTGTGCCAACACAGGAAACTGTTTTCAGAGATAAGGAGGTGCATGACAAATGCTGCTTCTGCTGCAACAAGGAAACTTACTTTTGCAACAACTGAAAGATCATAAATGGACTTTTCATGTTTTATAAAAAGGAACAGCTCCAGGTTTCAGTACTTGGAAACCTTTTCTTTTTCCGACAGCACGTACTGTTCAGCACTCACTCTCCTGGCTCAGTACGTAGTGATACAATAGATCAGTATACATATATATTGGTGCTGAAAACTTGTTAATGCACAAGAGTAAATAACAGAAATACCAGCATTAATTTATCATGCATATACAGGATTGCACCTCCAGTGGAATTCAAAATAGATCTGAACAAACTCGAGTTTTTCTTTTACAAGAGGCTAACACCTCATAGCATTAATCAAGTCCCTCTCACCTGTGTCACCACATGAAGGAACAGAAGCCACACAAACATGGTGTTTTGAAGAGATCTGTTCTTTGAGGCGAGTTGATCCTCAGGAGCTGTACTGTGGTGGCTGTGGTGTTTGCAGACTGCCTGGGCGAGCTCATTCTGACATTTATAAAGTCCAAGTTCTGATGTCACACTGACTGACTGCAGTGCAAACAGGCACTGGACAAGGATCAGAAATGTTTCTAATTCCACATTCCTGCTGCCCATTTCCACTCACTGTGAGCCAGAGAACCCCCCCCACCCCCCTCCCCCAGCCTTTAAAACTACGCAGTACTTCATTTGTATCATAGAATCACAACAGAACTGTTGCACAAAATATGCTTGAATCTACTCTGCAAGATCACTCTGTTTATCTACAGTACATCTAAACATACATGCACAGTTCACTGACATAAGTACATAGATGCATTAAAAAGAATGCCTGTTTATTATGGACCCACAAACGCTGTTGAACTTATGAGGTATGAGGGCTGGAGGGATTACCTATGCCTTTTGGCAGTAATATGTCTATACTTGTCATGGAAAACACCAGAAATCATAATTCCTGGTGTTGCAGCCCATTCCCAGCTTTTACTAAACTACTAATAATAATCAATGGATTACATATGTGGAGCATTATGGTGCAGTGGTTAGTATTTCTGCCTCACAAAAATGAAGTAAGGAAAACTAGCTGGCTTCCTTGTTGACCTGTTGCATCTTTAGTTATATGAAATGCTAGTTAGTTATACTTTTAATTATAACTATTATAAGAATAGCTATATAAAAGTTTTTAATTAGGAAGCTGTATCAGTGTGAGCTGCAAAGCAACAAATGGATGCAAATGGATGCAGTTGATTGCTTGCTGAAAAGTAGAAAAAAAGAGGAAAAAAAACTATTTGGCCTTGAAGAAAAAATGTCTTTTCCGTCTCCCTCACACCTGAAGAAGGCTCATTCAAAAATGCTTTTTCTGTCTACACATCAGTGTGGAATTAACCTTTACTTGCTTCTTGAGGTGTATACTGTAAAATTACTATAGGATAGCACTGTGGTCTGTCTGCCTCACTGTCTTGTACATTAACTTTTCTTTTACTCTCCTACCGCAGCATATCTGTAGGCAGCAGCTCTGTCAGACCACACCAGCAAGCAAGAGAGACCTGATATGACCCAAGGACTTGTGGTTTGTTTGGTCTCTTCTACAACACAGCTGTGCAGGTTCCTTCCAATTCTCATAGGAAGCAAACATTCTTCAGAAAGTCTTCAGATATGACCAAGGTCAAGAACTGCAGATAAGAGCATGAACAGGCAGCTAGGGCTAATCAAGGCCACATGGATGAGATAATTGACAGGAGTGGTTCAGGAGGACCTCAAAGAAGATACAAGCTACACTGGGGACTTGCAGATAATGCCAGGCCAAGGAAAGCTACAGTATTTGTGTTTCTCATGCAGAGATGCATTCACAAAAACACACAGTGTCCAAACCAAAGAACGGTAAAATTGCATGTTTCTTTTTGATGATCATCAGGTAAATGACCCCATCAGTCTTCCATCCCACAAACAGCAGCGAATCCTGTGAAAGTCCTTCATTTCAGAGGCAGCAAAGCTCAAACAAACACTCTCAGGGGCACTCAACTTCATTTCTGCTTTTTTCTCACACAGAACTGGCAGTACTAGCACAGCTAGTACATTACTGCCATCACTGTGGTCACTGCTACAATTATAGCTACAGCACTAGAACAATAGAAAATATACACCTCACTTAAATAAAAAAAAGAAATTACAGTGATCGTACCACGCAGCATTACAGGACAATATCACAGAGCACCGAAGAGACCATAGCGCACAGCATCACAGTGATCATAAGATCAGATCACTTTATTGGCCACATACAATTTTTTTGTATTAGAAATTTATCTTTTCACATACCCCAACTTGCTCTCCATGAGACACACAAACAGGGAGAGAGAAGCCTGAGGTCAGAGCACAGGGTCAGCCATATATACAGCACCCCTGGAGCAGTTGGGGTTAAGGGCCTTACTCAGGGGCCCAACTGAGTAGGATTCCTCTGCCAGCCACGGGATTTGAGCCGGCAACCTTCCAGCCACAGGCGGAGATCCTTAGCAAACAGAGCAGAACATCTCAGTGACTATATCATACATCACAATAACCATTTCACACAATATCAGAGAGACCATATCACACAGCATTACAACTTTTTTCAGGACTAGATTCACTTTGGTTGCTGTAAATTTTGCAATGAAGGCAACACGCACTTGGGGGCCTCTGACCTTCCTGTCATGTCTTTGATAGGAGCTCCTTGGTAATTCAGAGAAACACTTTCTGAGTAAAAACAAAACAAGAGTGATCGCCAGCAAGAGCAAGAATCTACGTGTCAAGAATGAAATGTTCAAAAATGGCAGATGTACAGTGTCACTTGGCAACCGCAAGAAAAAATAAACTCACTCCAATGGCAAAGTCACTACTGTGTAAAGATAAACAACAAAAACCTTTTTATATCGCAGACAAATGTCTAGAACACAATAAGAAACAGGAATCTGTCAACTCGAGTAAAGAGCTTATCTCAATGTTGCTGCTAACTGAACAAGGTGGTGACATTTTGAATCTTCTTCACTGTGAGAGTTTTGGTGGAGCTCCTCAGACTCCTCAGCTTCTCAGTACTGGCCTTCACTTGCCATCAAAAAAATAAAAACTCTTCGATCATTCTTGGCCAAATAAAACCCAAACCCTTCCCGTTCCTAGATCAAAAGACTTTTTGTTCACAGGGCTGTCCAGCAGGTGCGGTAGTACGTCGAAACTCTGCAGACTTGAGTCAGTCCAATTCCAGGAAAAAGGCACCTCAACATAAACATTTTTCACTTGAAGACGCCTTGCAGTCAGAAACAATACCTCACTCACATTAAAAGTGTATGCCTCACACACGTATTTTTCACCTTTTCACAGAAGAAATAAATATAACTAAGGCATAACTTCTGTCAATTGATTTCATGCAGTACACTCTATAATGTGATGAGGAGGTATTGTAAGTTAATACAATACACGGCTCTTAAAACCAAGTTATTAAAATAATTTTACCCTTTCATCATTTATATAACAATTGGCCGTCAGGTGAATGATGTTTATGTGGACAATGGCCATATTTGGACAAGCATTAGTCTCGCTTTCTTGCCTCTCTTGAGGTGATGAAATTGGACTGCATTTTGGTCTGTCTGCAAGACAATTTCAGTTTCTGAGTGCTAAGCAGGAAATTCATTGCTGTTTTATGTGTCTCATGCTTGACCACGTAACATTTTGAATTTGTTACAGAAAAATACGATTAGCCAAATATCTTGGTGTACATTTTGCTTTTTAAAAAAAATTATTATATTAGGAGGCTTGATCATGTACATGATATGCAAAGAATGTTGTCCAAAGCCATTTGGCGCTTATGTCATTTAATATATTTCACTTTACTACCCTCTTCTAGGTCTATTCCACTGACCTTCTGATTAACACTAACATATAAAGACAAGAGATATGTAAACCTAAAAGTGAAACAGGAAGCCGTTCGCTCTGAGAGAATTTTCCAGTCTCTCTAAAGCAGAAACAATGTCTCCTGTATTTGTCAGGTCCCTGATGGATTAAGGCAGAATCCTGTTATGCAGAATTCAGCCTCTCTCAGGGACAGCTGTCAATCTTTAGGTTAGCAAGGCACTGATTAATGAAGAACACAACATTCAATCAGAGCGGGAGTCATAACTGAATAGGAATGAGCTCCGGTAGTCTGGGAGATGGCATTTCATGGGGAAAATTCCCTGAAATGTTTCTCCAGTTCTTTTATCTTCATTCGTAAAAGCACACACAAAAAGGTGAGGTTTTAAAAATAGCACTAGACTCGGGAGGAAATGCCTATGGTTTTACTTATGACAGGTGGAATCCATGTGGTTAGCCAGCATGGCAATAGTGGAGAGTATCCGAATATATTTTGAAAGTTCCATCTTGCCAGCTTTGCTGTTATTCCTTTAATCTGAGATCTTGCTAGTTAACCACAAAAGGTTTGGAGAATATAGAGTTTTGCAATTGAATTAAGATTAAAGATGGTGGTTGCAAATGTTCATTGCTGAAATATTTGTATGTGAATAAGATTCAAGATGAAAAGTAAGGTTATTGGATTGCAATGACAATATGTGGTAAACCTGACTCCATTCTCACTTATACACAGCACATTTGCCGTGTGTTTTAAAGTAACACATTTTGAATAAAAGCAGGACATGATAGACAGGAATTGAAGCACCTGTGACAGTAGAACATGTTAGACACTTCCTCACGAACAAGTATTTAAGTCTCAACCTAAAATATTTTTAAAAGGGAAGTGATATAGTGTGGTTTAAATAGCATTTTTTTAAATGAAAACATTTTCAAGAAATGCACAATTTACAGTGTTTTTTTCTTTTCTTCATGCACTCACAATGGAGCTATGATGAGAGAGCAGTCAGTCTGACACTTAAGATAGTATAGTGTATTTGCTGCACAGTGTTTTACAGTTACCTACAGTACTTTGGTCTCACCTCACCTTGTCTGGAATGAAGTAGATTTGACATCAAACCATTTTACTTTTGGTACAAAACATGAACTGTACATATAGGTTTTAGTTACTCTCTGAATGACTTGACTCATTACCAAAGTAATGGCTTTATTATTTAATGTATTTACTTATCTGAATACAATGATTTCCATCACAGTATGCCATTCTGCCAGAATCTGCAAAAAGCAATAATACTCAGAACTGCAGTTGCAATGCAGTGCCTTGAGAAAGTCCACAGTTCCTTCTGCTATGATCAAACAGGTTATAAAATCTGTGAGAAACATGTGCAGTCAGAAGCAGCAGCCATCTTCATCAATCAAGCAATATCTGTTATCAGTTTTATAAAGATTTATGCATTCCTTTCTCATGAGTGGTCATATTGTCTTTAGTGCCTAAAATAATTTTTGCTAAGCATATTTCTGCTACATGCTTGCTGGGATAGGATCCAGCTCCCCCATGACATGAATTGAGCAAAGCCGTTAGAAGATGGATATTTCTGCCTCATTGACTGATAAGTCTCAACAAAGATTCCAGCCGGAGCCGAGCAAGAGATCCAAATTTAA